TGTTGTGGAGTGACTCATGCAGCCAGCTATGGCTGCAGGGTTTTGGTAGTACATGTTGTTTATGCCATTTATTGTTAAAATTCCGTCAGTTCCTATGATTGCTTTTTCATTGCCTTCATGGCTTTATTTTGGTGATTTCGAAAAGTGTATTGGTTTAGCCATGTTTGTGTTGTTGTAGTACAGAGTTAGACTGATGGCCTTAATCTAAGTTGTCTTGTGGTTGTTGTTGTTGTTTGACTTGCATCCCACTGGGATTTTTGCACACAGCGTTGGTGTACGGTGTTTTTTTCTGCAATATTTTTGCTGTCTTTTCTTGGATTTTCTCTTTGCACTTAGTCACATATTCACTTTAAGATGTTTTTTTTGTTCATGTTTTTGTTTTTTGTTTGTTGCGGTTGCACCCGATTCAAGAGCTGAATGGCTCACAGGGCTATACCTAATAAATGAACTTGAACTAAATAAATAAATAAAATAAATGCTCGTGAACGTTCGTCGTCCGACCGTTTCGACGTCACGAGGACTGATTGTTAAACACACCCCGCAAGATTTTCTGACCGCGGTTGCGAATCGCGGGAAAATAAACATGTTAATATGTTCTATAGTTCGTGAAGGTCCCTCTGTTTCTACGATGCAATTCCAAGTATTCATGCATGTGCTTCTTTGCACACTTTCGAACCTGTGCCCAATTCATCTCGTCACAGTGTCCATGACAACGATGATGATGATGCACAGAGCCCTGTTTATAGTTTTATCAGGCTAGGGATGGCCAAAAAAACATTGATACATCGGTAACATTTGGTGTTTACTTTCTGAGACGTCCATTTGTTTTCCTTCCCATGTTTAAAGCGCTTTGATGATGAAAGAAAAACCTGGTCCATCTCGAAACGCCGTCCAACAGCGGTACACAAACAACAACGTATCTGGCGATGCTGCTGCTGCGTTGGCAGTGGTGCTCAAGCGCAGTTAACAACAAAACTTACATTTGCGAAGAGCACTATGGCCTAAATATAATACAACATATTCAATTCTTTTTTTACCAGGTAAGGCCCACATAGCTATATAGCTCTTTTTCAGAAGCGACCTGGCCACAAATGACAGCTCAACGAAGTGGCTTATCACGTGGACATTCATATAGCAGCCAAATACTCTAAACGCACGTCGATTCTGAATGTGGAGGGGGGAAACCGGAGGACGCGGAGAAAAACCCACGCGACCACGGGGAGAGCGCGCAAACTCCAAATATATACGGGCGTTGGGACCGAACCCACGACCTCCTGCATATCAGGCGAGGTCGTTAACATCTCGACACCGTGGCACCCAATAGGTGACATTTTGGACAATGGAAATTCTGCAGAGCACACGTAGAGAGAGGCCCGGAGAGAGTGGATGAGAAATGTTGCAGATTGCGCTTAAAAATAAATCATTCCAATGAGGCAAAATGGTGTTAACAAGCAGTCTCCAGCAATTATCGTCCACTATCTCTCCCTGGTCTTTCGACTTGTGCTCTGGGGAAGGGTCACTGACCAAAACGTAACCTGTTGTTGTTTTTTTAAGGCCACGGTGTATATAGGGTAGATGTGTTTAAAGTAAATATTCTGGACTCTACTGGATAAACAAGTTTGATGTTGGGTGAATGTTCTCACTGCAGCCGTCTGATTTTGAATTATTGGATTGTTTTATTATTCTATTGTTACCTTGGACGATAATATTAACATTACTCTTTTGTGCTACTAGTAAAACAGAAAATATCCATTAAACATATTTCCTTCTTGACTTAAAGCTTTCGTGACTACAGAAATTAATATTCATTGGGTCTTTTTTTTACAAATAAAACAAATGTACAATTTTTTTCTTAGAATTAAATTTTGTTTAACCTATCTACGTGACTTTACCGAAAAACCAAAAAAATATATTTCCTTCTGATGTTTTCCAGGTTTTCATAAACGTTCCATTGCTCCCCCGTACTCCAGGCCGCGTTTTGGCATCCACAGCAGCCTGCGCTCTCCGCTCCACGTGCCACCGCCTGAGAATCCATTCCAGGATTCCGCTTTAACAATGCAACAAGCGCATGCGCAGAACTGCTCAACTCCGGAGTGCCATCTATCGCATGATCCATTCCACGCTGGGGCTCGCCCAGTGTCACAACCACTGCGCATGCGCGCTGCGCTCCGCGTGCCATCTTGGCCAGGGAATCCACGCCGGGATATGGAGGATCCGTCTCTGAAAGCGGCCACGTTTTCCGGCAGCGCAGTTCAAGCCACGTGGGAGGTCAGGTCGGGGTTACACCGGGTCAGGTCGGGGTTACACCGGGTCAGGTCGGGTTACACCGGGTCAGGTCGGGTTATACCGGGTCAACGTTGGCAACATTGGATCAACGTTGGAAATGTTGGCTCAACATTTGGCATGTGGTTTGAACCGTTGTCCAGGTTGTGGTACGTGAGAGATGGTGATGTTGATGTTTTCAGACCGGATAGTTTAGAAATTATTGAGAAGAGACGAGGGCGGTGGCTATTTATAAGATACGTTTAGAAATGAGAAATACAATTGTTCAGAGCTCGAAGGCAGAAGAGCTGTACAGAGGAAAGCACGTGGCCAGTTTCCTTTCTCACCTGATGCACGAGGGCTTAGTCGACCCCCAGTGACCTCGCCCTGAGCGAGTCTTGTGACCACAAGACTGCACGCTGCACGAGTGGGTCAAGTTCAATATTTCACAGTGTCACGTGAAATATGTTAACAGACTTGCAGTTGTAATTCCTTTTTTATATAAATAATTATCCAGCTTCAGAGCTTTTGCGTATTGTGGTACTTGAACGGCTGGGTTGACCGTGGCTACGACTTTGTAGAGTAATTTGCGCGTGTTTTTGTACGATTTAAATCGGCCTCTGGAGGAGGCTCGCGAAGGACGGTACAGTGGACGACAAAGGAGCGACGCTCACAACAACGATCAGAGCGCCGGGCGGCTAAAACGCAGCAAGTCGGCACAGCGGGGTGTACAGGTAATGCATCTGCCAGTGATCTCAGTCAGTCTACCCATAACACATTCCTGCGGAGGGAGCTGGTAGGAACGTTGGGTTGCTCGGTCAATGGCCAGGGTCAACGGCGGCGTGGTGTATTCCGCAAATATGCCCGACTGTGAGGGCGGGCACAAGCCGGCGGGAGTAGGTTAAACGTTGAGTTTTATAAGGGCACCACGGGGTGACCAGCCCCTCCCCACCCAGCCCCACCCAGCCCCACCCAGCCCCACCCTCCCCACCCTCCTCTCCCATTTTTGGATGCATGACAGACAGACGGACACAATAATCCCCTGTGGGCTGGTGTAACCAGGAGGTTCCTACCAGTATAACACCTTGTTCCTCAGAACCTGGGTGACCTGGTTTGGACTCATGGCCACCGATAACACCAGTGTCCATTGCTATCTCAAAATGATATTGGCCTCCACGTATGTATGTTGAACTTCTTTCACACCATACATAGCCAACCATTCTAAACGGAGGTGCAGGGGAAGGACAAGAAACTGGACACAAAAAGCAGTTCTAAAAGAAATTAGTTATAAATTAAGATTTAAAATTGCATAGCTTCAGTGGTGCGGAATATGAACCAACATCAGCAAATGCCCCAACAGTCAAACGAGGCTCCTATAGTGTGACTTGTATGTGTTTACAGGATTTTTTTCCCATATAAACTTCAGATAAATGAAGTTGGAATCCAAACAAACATTGTGTACACATTGCACAATTTAAAACATCGATTTAAAAAATGAAAATGTGGCACTGCTCATTCCTACTGACAGCACTCAGCCACTGATTCCAGTGGCGAGATGTTAACTCCCTCGCCTGGTATGCAGGGGGTCGTTGGTTCGACCCTGGATGCCTGCATATTTGGAGTTTTCAAGTCTCTCTTAGAGTATTTGGCTGCTATAAATTTCCACTTGGCCACAAATGGAGGTATAATTTGTGGCCAGGTCACTTCTAAAAAAGAGCTATATAGCTCAGTAGGCCTTACCTGGTAAAAAAAAAAAGTTGAGTTTTCAAAGTTAGATTTTCCATAAAGTGTTCTGCAATTGTCATCCCTGGAAAGTTGATGAACAGATCCAGTCCCCAAGAGGGATTTGAACTCACAATTCTAGATTGTGAGTTTGGCATTGAGAACCACCAGATAGGAACAACAGGAAACCAGAAATGGCCTATACATTAGCACACGTGTACATAGTTTGGCTAATAGCTGAGCCACAAAAATATTTTCAAAAAGAGAATTCCATAGATATTTCTGGCAAATGTCATTGGCTATGATGACCTCTTTACCCTGATATTGTTAAACGCGTGGTATCAAGGAGTTGGGTAATGTTTGATCACATGTCGCCTTATTCACCCAGTGAGGGATTACAGGAGGGATTGACAAGACGGTAGATCTAAGGAAGAAATGCGTGAATGCGATCTCCGCCAGCGTGTGAGAATTTCCCTCGGCTCGCACGCGGGATGGGTGCCGTGATACATGTTTTGCGGTGGAGTGGTGGACTTTGGTGTCGTGGTGAGGTTGTGGTGCGGCTATACGTAGTGATACTGGTAGCAACACCTCCTGGTTACACCAGCCCACAGGGGATTATTGTGTCCGTCCGTCGTGCATCCAAAAATGGGAGGGGTGGGGCTGGGTGGAGAGGGGAGGGTGGGGAGGGCCTCGTCACCCCATGGTGCCCTTATAAAACTCAACGTTTAACCTACTCACGCCGGCTTGTGCCCACCCTCACAGTCGGCCATATTTGCATTATACACCACGCCGCCATTGACCGAGCAACCCAACGTTCCTACCAGCTCCCTCCGCAGGAATGTGTTATAATGTGTTAATACTTGGTGTGGTGGTGGTCTTGTGTAGTGCGGTGATGTGATGATACGTGGTGTGGTGGTGGTCTTGTGTCGTGGTGTGCTAGTACGGTGATATGGTAATACGTGGCGCTGGTGGTCTCCCGGCGCGGTGACACGGGATGCAGAGGCGTGGGCTCCCACCTGCCGCGCGTCGCGGGACGACTGGCTCCCACGGGGCGTCACGGCCTTGTGGGAGTGTGACGGCGATGAGCAGGACATCCGCTCGTCCCCGCTCATCTTGCCTCCGTCTGTCGGTGCCCGGACCCCGAGCTCACCGCTTGCGATTCGTGTGAATATATATTTTTGCGAATATGAGTTCCTGTTTGTGTGCACGATTTCTTGTGGTGTCCGAATTTCTGCTCAATTTTCGTCTCCACGTTCGTAGCCGCGTCTGTCTCTCTGTCGATTTAAGACAGCGCCTGGATACGAGTTAGCATTGAGATGCTTTATAAATGATTATTGTCCACTTTCTTCTTGGCCTCCTTAGACCTGGCCAATTCCTCAAGAGTCTTTCTCCCTTCTTTCTGCCAGTGTATTTATCTCTTTTCTCTGTTCTATCTGTCTATTGCTGCCCCTCGCTCTCTTTTCACTCGCACAGTCTCCGTCAGCCGACCTTGTTCGACAATGCAGCACTGCAGAGGTTCAGTTTAGAGGATTCCTCAGTCCCATCCAAATCAGCGCCAAATAAGCAAATTCACAATTGAAAGTCTCTTTGGAACGATTGCAGATTACTGCTGCTGACAAGCTGTGCGGAAGGGCAGATGAGAGGCCACACTTGTAGAGCCGAGTGAGTTTGCCAGATCATTTGTACGTAACACCTCGAGTCCGCCCACCGTGCGTAAAATGTACACACCGTGTGCACGACGATCGTTGGCCCGAATTCTAATGAAAGTGCTTTCTGTCAAACTGCGGAAGGGCAACCGGTGGAATTTGCCGTCCCGATTCTTGAGCGGTGCCGTTTGCGCAAGCAGGCACTGCGGCATACACGTGTGTGTGTGTGGTGTTTGTGCGTGCGTGCTTGTGCAGGCTGCTCAAGCTCCCACGAGACTGGTGGGGGGGGGGTGGATCTGCCTGTGTTGGCTTCACTCAGTATTCTTCTGCCATCCCTGCAGCGAGAAGAAAGAGAGAGGTGCGAAACGAAAACAAATTAACAAGCTGGACCGGCGGTACAATAAGTGAGCCTTCAGTGAAAAACAGACGGACAACCATTTAAGCAAGGAATATGGAGCAAACTTAAAGTTGCCCTGAAGGGTCTATATGTAGGTGTAAATACAGTTGAATATGATTTGCTTATATAAAATTTGTAATTTCTTGCATGGGGTACAAAATAGTTAAGAAAAATCCTCGCATAGCCGCATAGGTTTCCGTTGCAAAGGGCATCTTGTATTGCCGAGTGCATGCTTACAAGAATAGATATTGAAGCTTGTATTTTAACCGTGTGAAGATTTTACACCACAGGCATCCACTCATCAGTCTACTCAACCAGGAAACTGCACAGAGCAACAGGTGTATGGCTTTGGCTGAGCAGCTGTGTGGGCTCTGGTTCAATGTGGAGTGAGGCGATTGTTTCAGACCTTGTTAACGGTAACCGAACAAAGGGCACTGATGTGGTTGTTGCACATCGCTCCCTTGAGACGAGCTCGAGTGCCTTAGTTTGCAGAGACATCGTACGAAATGCTGTACAGCTGAAGATAGCGGGTTTAGGCGTCGTGGTTGGATAGGATAAGGATTGCCAGGCAATTGGCTGGCACTACATTTTGTAATGTGACGTTTGGCAGCACCTGTCAAACAAGGATCCTTTAATGAAAATGTGTTTGTTTCCTAATAGTAGTCTGGTTACACTGGACTGTTACAGTACCGTGATATCAACTCCTCTACTATGCACAATGTGTGAATGAGTAATCCGGCTACAGTTTTGCAGCCACTACTTACCAGTATTGAAAGCATATTGTTTACACGCGTAATTCACGTAGCTACTTAGCGGGCATGAGCACCCCACTGTTTAAAACCCCTAGAAACAGTACAGAGAAGTGCATATTCCATTGAGATAAAGGGTACAGTATTTGCCTAGATACTAGAGCTGCAAACGCTGGTTGTCACAGCATTCCATTTATTTAGTTTAAACATTGAAGCATCTGCAGCACAGTTCCTTTGCCAACATGGCAAAGCGCCCGCATAAAACGTTAAGTCTCGCCGAGAGGGTTGACGTGCTAAAAAGAATCGAAAGGAGGGAAAGTCAGACTTCGATAGCGGCAGTCTTTGGCGTCAACCAGAGCCAGGTATCGAGAATTGCGAGGGACAAGGAGAAAATCCGTGACGAGTGGCGCGCCGGTGCCAATCCCGACCGGAAGCGACGGCGCACGGGAAAGGCGGGTGCCGTCGAGGAAGCTCTCCTTTACTGGTTCAGGCAGAGCCGCGACAGCACGCTGCCGCTCGCTGGCTCACTGGCTCGCTGGCTCACTGCTCACTGCTCACGAGTTGGCAAGAGACCTCGGACGGGCGGACTTTAAAGCGACGTCCGGCTGGCTCGAGCGATGGAAGGCGCGCAACTCGATTTCGTTCGAGCAGCAGCGGCAGCAGGGCAGGAAACGAATTGCGCGTACACGCGCGGTGCAACACTGGCTCAAGGACGTCTCTCCAGAATTATTGAAGGGCTACGCGCCCAAAGACATTTTCATTGCGGACTAAATGGGCCTGCACTGGCGAGCCGTTCCCGCGGCGACTTTGGAAATTAATGCCCGAGGAGCTTTTGGAATTAAAGCCGCAAAGGACCGGGTGTCCCTGTTGTTCTGCGCAAACCTGGACGGCAGCGAAAAGCACCCCCCGCTAGTCGTTGGCACGAGCAAGAACCCAACGCTGCTTGAAAAACGCCAAGAAACTGCCCCTGCCGTACGAGGCACACAAACACGCGTGTGTGACGGCCGAAATGGGGAACGGTTGGCTGGCAAAAGTGAACAAGAGCATGCGGTTGCAAAATCGCACTATCCTCACGCTGTGCGACAGCTGCGCAATGGGCAGCGAGGACGGCGCTTTGAGCAACGTAACAATCGTGCGTCCGCCAAGCAACGGCACGTCTCCCGCGCAGCCCGTGAACGCAGGCATCGCAGAGCGCTTCAGGAGGCCCTACAGAGCTCTCGCGCTGGCACGCGAACACCGGCGCGTGAGCGTCGTCCAGGACGGGAGTGGGGAGCCCACGGCGACGACTCCTGCAAAGTGTCCGAATCTGCTAGACTCGCTTCACCTGCAGAAGGAAGTGTGGATCTGCGCGACTCAGGCCACAATAGCCAGCTGCTACAGGGAGGCAGGAGCCTACGCTCCCTGACGAGGCAGGAGGAGGTAGCGACGACCCTAGAGTCGAAATTCCCAACGGCGCGACGCGTGACGCCTCGGACGCGTTGCGTGTCACTGCTGATAATGCAACGGAGGACGATAAGCGCGACGCGGGTGTCTGTGTCAGTCCGAAGCAGACGGACGATGCGGTGTGCTGCTGCAGCAGCAGCGGCGGCGACGTCACGGGAAGTGAAACGGTGGCCTCCGCCACACCGCCAGCCTACACGTTCTCCGGCGCTCTCAAAAGCCTGGCCTACATCCGAGGCTTCCGCGAGTCGAGCGGCCGTGAAGTCTGCAGTGAATACTTCGCCTTGCAGGTGGCGATTTACAGCTCGCTAAGCGGAGAAGGCACAAGCGGCCGTCGCTAATTCTTTCACGAGCCCGCAGCCTGTCGAGTATAGAATCGGTGTTTCAATTGGTGACAATGTACATTGTGTTCTGTATTATTTGTTAAGTTGCATTGTTTAAGTGCTCCAAGCCAGCCAATGGTTCTACGCTCAGTTGGGCTCCAAGCCAGAAATAAAAATTCAACATTACAATATCAGGGGCCACAGGATATTTGCCTGTTGAATTCTACAAAAGAGTATATGCATTGCATCAATATTTGACGCATCGTTCTGCAAGCAGGATTTTAAATCGTGGCCCTCTACAATCGTGAGCCAAGTGTGGCACTACAAGGCTCTCTGATAAATGAAGCTGCCAAACGGTGATTACTTCAAACACTCGCATAGTTGCTGGATAAGCTGTGAAATGGACACAAGAGAATGTGCTAAATAATACCAAAGCCAACATTTCTTATCTACTATTGGTTGGAAATGATGATAATCAGGAATGTGATTACAGTACGTTATGTGCTTAGCTTCCACGCAGTAAGTACTGTGGATTCATATTATGCAATACATAATTTATTTTGTGTGCTGAAATGTGAAGCCTGTGCGCTAATTAAACTCATGCTTTATTAATGTACAGGTGGTAGAGGTGTGACCCTGGAGCTGCTAACGCACGCCGCTACCGATGGAAACGCCTCCACTTGAGCGAACTCTGGTATTTGGTCTACTCTACCACATTGATCAAACGTGTTGGAAGAGGTTGGCTTACCCACATTTTACCGCACCCCACAGCACATGAGCTGCCGATCGACTAACTGGTGTCCCCACATATCCTGCTGGGTCAGCAGAGGTGGCGAGATTTAAAAAATTGTCCCAAAATTTGAAATTCCGCACCAGGTAATGGATCTGGTACCGCCGACCGCTGGATGGCAAGTCCGGTATGTTCACCGTTAAACCACTGTGGCAGCTCCCTTACCGTACAGAAATGTCTAATACTGAACCACATGAAAATAACAGCTGGCTTGTTTATTTTTCAAATACGTGTGCAATGCACTAAATAAAACCCTACCTGCACTCAAGGCCTTGGCGGTGTCTTTTTTTTTATATCAAGTTTTTAGAAAATGCCCAAGAACCTTCCCCAAGTCCTACAAAGGCTCACAAGCATATCCACGCAACTACTTGCACATACACGCACCCGTATTCACATTGAACGTTCTCCCATGTAACACACGAGTAGTGTTTCTGGCACTATGCCCAACCACCTTTGTCTCCCCAGAGCCAATCGCCACATCAGGTACTCCATTAAATCGACCTAGGGGAGGCCCAGAACAAGTTCCGATATAACTTGCTACTGATGTTAGCCATTGCTAGGAACGGAACCACCGCTCCCCATTTATTCTCATGCACACTCAGGGCTTCATGTCACCCGGGTTTGGATTAGTAGCCCAGAAAATATTTTGGCATGCGGAATGCCGCATGCGGTACACCTTTTAATCTTGGCTGCGGTCACTCGTCTCGAGCCACGCGCTCCAGTCTGCCAGCTACCCGGAAACGATTGGGTGAGCAATTTTATTCTGGCAAACACTCGTATAACCCAGCTCAGGTGAACACAGGAAGACAGCTATTTCTGTAACAGTAATAACCCAGCCAGGTGGATCAGCGTTCAAGTGAGTGGCTCACGATTGGAAGGTTGTGAGTAGGCCATTGTGTTTTTGCTTGGGGTTCCACATTTGCCAAATGAAACAATTACCCGCAAATTACTGAAATGAACCATTTTGTAAGGTGCGTTTCATCCGTAGAGCCAAATACGACGTGTGTGGAAAGCAGGAAATAAAACAATCGGCTTGACCTGACTGAGGGGGGTAAAAGGCCATTTTAAAGGTGAGCTTTCAAGACGGACTTGCATAGCTGTCTTATTACCAAATGCAGAGCGTTCCATAGTCTGGCGAGCTGCACTGGCAAACACCCTGTCACCCCAGGAACAGAGCCTCAACATCGGAGCGCGAAGAAAAAAGGCAAACCCCAGAATCTTGCAGACCTCAATGGAGATTTTTTTACGGATCAGTTTTAACACGTAGGCTTTCGTGACCAAATCCAGTAGAGGTTTTTTGGGTTAGATCACATTAATACAAACGTGTCGTTAAGCCCGCCAACATCCGAAAGCCAATTTTTAAGGTTTGTCACGTAAACAAAACATGCCAATTCGTTACTAGTTCAGCACACCGGTTTGTTGTATGAACGGATCAGTTCCTGCAAATATTGTGGGGCCAAGCCATTGGTCAGCGGCAGGATCGTATAGTCCACTCGAAACCTGACTGGTAGCCAGTGCAAAGACAAGACGGCAGGTGCAGGGCCGTACTATCCACTAGGCACAGTAGTCCCTGTGCCTGGGGCCTACGAGAAACCAATGGACCTAGAAAAACTATTTTGACCATGTTTTTGTTTTG